CATGATGAAGGCAGACAAACATACTGGCTAAATTTTAGTTTCCTAGCACTAGAAAGAAAAGTTTGTACAGCATAACATTAGAATTGATGAATTGGGCTGTGAAGGCTTGATAGCCCAGGAACTACTTAAAAAACTAATACACTATCATACCAAAGCAACATGAAAGACATTATTAGAAATAGTACAGAGAGCCAAGCATTTGTTACTCTCAATATTACCAGAGTGGCCAAATTTGAGATCTGGCTTGGCTCCAGATTCCTGTTGATAGGCACCCTGTGATGAACCAGGTGAGAAGATCAGTGGTGGAATGTTTCCAGATCAGCCCAGAAGTCTGGATGCATTCCTAGTTTCCAGCTCCAGTTTGGCCCAGCCTGGGCCTACTGTGGGTATTTGGGAGCAGTGAACCAATGGATGGGATCTCTCGCTCTCTCTCTCTCTCTTTCTCTCTACTTCCTTTTTCTCTAATTCTCAAACTAAGTAAAGCTAAATGAAAGATCAGAACAAAAATAACTACAGCTATCAACAAAAAATCAGAGAATATAAATATAACTTTTTTCTTTCTGGATAAGGATTTTTTCTGCCTGGATAACTGTTTTAACTGGCTTAGTTAGTCATTGTCACAAACAAAAAGGCTTTGAGATTTTGATATGGTTATTTTCTTTCTTATATTCTTAGCTACAATGACCTCTGCAAATTCAAAGAACAGGTCTGAAAAAGAAAGCAAACAAACAAACAAAAAGAGGCGGTGGAAGAAGAAAAGGACAAGTAGGTTCCAAATCAATGGTAAGAGTACTGTTGTTTCATGTGGTACGTTATGTGTAAGAATGGACACAGTCCTGCTTTCCTAAAATCATTTGCAATCTGGAAATCACTGTCCGATCTTGAGGAAACAATTACACCTCAGCATCCCGGCTCGGTTCCCTCTACAGTAATGTGGGCTAATAACCTCACACGATCGCGTGAAGGCCTGAGATAATTCACATGAAATGTGCACATTTCCAAGTCCCCAGAAATGCTGAACTCTTCGAATGGCCACCTCAAGGACGAAGATTAACACCTGTACAGAAACTTCTACCATCATCTACAACTAAGAATTTTTCTTCAAAACTTTGTTACCATGCTCTATTTTACATTCCTATAATCCAACATCTGTAAGTTTTATTAGGAAGAAAAGGAAGACTATACTGTCATGACTAATGTGATGGATATTATCAGGGAGAATTTGAAAGTCTTTACCCTGATAAACAGAAGGATAGTCTTACTATCACGTATCATCATTCCAAAAGATACAATGCAAACAACTAAACTAATATTGTAAATTAAGAAAATAATTTTGGGGATAATTCAGAGCTTTTGTGTAACAATTTATATTTGGTCTTCTGTTTTGAAGGAGAAATAATAACAACTCATTATTGATATTTGTTTTTAACAGAGAGAGAGAGAATAGGGGCAAGTGTCTACTCCAGAAGCAAAACAGACACGTAACTTGCGTTGAAGATGCTACAATAAGTGGGGAGAAGAGGCAGAGCAGACTAAAGCCACACATTACCACTGTGTCCATCCACACCACTGCCCACACGCCCAGGCAGCCGGTCAGTGCTGTCATGCTCACGGAGAAAATTTGTATTTGAATAAAAAAGACAGTTCCACATGTAACGGCAAAATAAGAATCTATAAAATATTAAAAGCCAATACAAATAAATATGCAAATTTTCAAAGGAAACAGCAGTATATACAGCAGATTTTATGTGCTTAGAACCAAATGTTTTAATAGCAATGGAGTAGCAAAAGGAAAACTTTTTACTAAGAAGTATGATTTTTTTCTTAAAAAGATAAGACTACTGTTTTTTAAATGTTTTTCAAAAAAGTAATTATAGAGACTGCCGGAAAATAAACAGATGTAGCAGTGGGCAGATTTCATACAAAACAAAATGATACTCTCAATATTTAAGCAATATTTTCAATCAATTTAAATAAATTTTCATTATATCAAATGATCAACGCTGAAATTTTGAACAAGCTGTTGAAACCACAAAAATGCAAAACAACAAAAAAATCCAAAAAACTTATATTACTTATATTTAGAAAGCATTGCTTATATTACTTTACAATGTATAAACACTATACTTCAATATGGAATGGAAAAAGAAAATGTTATTCCTTGTTTGGGGGCTTAACAAAATGACTAGCATTTCTGTAAGTGTCATGGTTATATATTATTCTTTCAAAAAGACAAATGTGAAAAACTTTGAAATAATTTGAAAATAAGTAATGGATGAATAAGTGAGTGGGTGGCTAGGAAAACCAATGAATAAATATGCTACAAACAAAACGTAAATGGAAAAATTCCTGCTCTCATCTACACGTTAAGGAAGATGCGAGTATTTCCAATTTCCTCCTTTGTTTTGTTCCACAAATGAATTCTAAGAAATCCAGACTTTCTATTCAGCTATCAGTCATCAACTGTGGGATACAGAGAAATCAACTAGAAACAGTTTCTCCAGAACATGCAACCCTGGGAATAAAGGGGAAAACAAAACTTTAAAAAGTGGAGATCATCATTGATAGAAGTAAGCCAGGGAGACATTAATCTTGGAAATTACGGAGTGTATTAAAAAGTCAGTCTCTTGTATCTTAAAACATTGGAGAAAAGGCCTAAATTACATCACTTTTTATACCGTAGAACAGCCTCATGGACAGGCACGAGGTCAAAGCTGCAGGCCCACTGTGTGACAGATCATCACTCAACTGGCTGTGAGCCCTGGACGCACATCAGGCAACACGCGTCGCCCTTTGAGCGAAGACTAAAAAAGTACAGTTACAGAAAACATTCCACAATATAGCCTGAAACCTGTCAGATCTCCATCACAACAGGCCACTTCAAAGATCTTAAATGGGAAAACCACTGGCTGCAGGTCCCTCTCTGCTGTGCTCCACAAGGCTCCTCTTTTCTTGAACTCACAGAAGCCAAGGATCAGCATGAGCCCATCACGCATGAGAAGCACAGAGTCCAAACAAGGACCATTTCACAAATTACTGTGATCACTGTACCTGCCGGAAAATACAACATATCTGAACTGCTCAAGCAGTCACAAGAAATCGGCCCCAATGTTTTCCCACATTTACTTCTCTGTTTTCACTTTTCCTCCCTTCACTTCTATCTTTGGAGACCATGCTATACCAATTGAACTTTATTTCATCTGTTTAACCTTCGTCATTCTTGAAAAGATGTCCCCCCCTCCCACCCCCTCCCTTTCTCTCCAGATATATATATATATATATATTCCTTAATTAGATGTTATGGGACTGTCAAAAACAATACAACAGTACCCTCTGACACGTATTGTTCGGGCAATTTATGTTTTTCAGCTGTACTGGAACAGTTTCCAGTGTAGATCTGAGAATCATGTATGATGACTTAATAGCACTAACATAGAATTTGTTTTTATAACATGCAATTTCTCTAGAATACAAGGCACTCCTTCCAGAGCTGACATGACATGTAATATAACAGCACACTAAATGTAGAAACAAAAGGGAGAAGAGAGCTTGTTCTCTCTCATGGCAGCAATGAAACATCTGAAGAAATGAAAAGCCACATTTTCTGCCTTGGAAAATGATTTTCATTAATTTTATGTTAACATGTAACAGGTGCACAGTATTATTAAAATGAATAAGCATTTGTTCCATTCTCCTTCAATGTTTCACAGGACAAGCATTGTTACATGTAACCACATTAATAAGAGCTCTATGGATCCTCAAATGTTCTGGATACCCAAAAAACTTTGTGAGACTTAGAGATTATTACTAAACTGCGGTAAGTGGTACATATCGCAAAAACAATCCTGACTACTCAAATGAACCACAAAAATTTAACTTTAAAAGCATTAACATACATAATGGTTTGATTCTCATGGTGGATCTTCTAAAATAATATTAATTTCTTAATTAAGATCCTCTTGTGATTCTTCAATTCATAAAGTACACCCCAAAAACACTGGGTAAGACCAACAAATGTAACCTATGTTGGGATTCCAATACTACCGCTTTGCTTCTTCCCCTCATGATCCCTCAATTGGGTAACAGAAAAGAAAGTGGCTTTGCAAGTGTTCAAACTATTAAAGTTATGTAATGCCAGGCCTAGTGTGGTAGCCTAGTGGCTAAAGTCCTCACCTTGCACGCACTGGATCCCATGTGGACACCAGTTCTAATCCCGGCGGCCCTGCTTCCCATCCAACTCCCTGCTTGTGGCCTGGGAAAGCAGTCAAGGACGCCTCAATGCCTTTGGACCCTGCACCTGCATGGGAGACCTGGAAGAGGCTCCTGGCGCCTGGCTTTGGATCAGATCAGCTCCAGCCATTGCAGCCAATGGGAAGTGAATCATCAGACGGAAGATCTTCCTCTCTGCTCTCCTGCTCTCTGTATATCTGACTTTCCAATAAAAACGAAGTAAATCCCTTTTTAAAATTACATAATGCCTACAGACGAACGCACTTCACTTACTCTAAGCTTGCTTTGCCTTACTGTTATTTTCACCATTTTATTTACAACCTTCTAACACATCACAGAGTTAACTTATCAGAATTGTCATCTCAGCCACTGCCTGTCAGCCACATACACGTACCATTTTTTTCTGTTTCATTCACCAATGCATCCTTAGCATCTACAAGAGCAACAAATGCAAACCAGGCAACAAGAAAAAAAAAAAAAGGTTAACTTGGGCATTTTACCAGCAGGAAACAAGCATCTCTTACCAAATTAACACCTGCAAAGAGCCAGTGCACTGTACACAAGAGGGAAGCTGAGGTTGAAGGACCTCAAGGATTTTCTCCTTAAGATCCAGAAAGGCTAAGAGAAATGGATTATCAAGGAGAGAAGAGACGGGACAGAGTTCAAAGACGTCCCATCAGGAAGCCGAACGCCTTTGCCCCAGTTCTAGGATTCCGTGGACAGAGAGAACATAGACAGAGAGAAGGTGAGGAGGCGGCGCTGACACACACCTCTCTTCTCCTGGTGAATCTCTTCCAGCAGGTGCTCTTGCCTCTCTATCTGCTCGAAGAGACACTGCAGCTCAGACTCCTTGTTCGTCGTCAGCTCCCGGAGCTGTTCTCTGCAGAGCAGCAGCTGGTGGCGCAGACTCCTCTCTCTGTTCTCTCTCTCTTTCAGTTCCTCACAGAGCCACTGAAGTTTAGTCTAAAAAGAACATTTATATCCAATTTTTAGATATCCAGGAAACAGCACCGCAAAACATGAGGAGAAACAGCCATATTACTTCGAGCAAATGAGGCAGCATAATATTCACAGAGCCAAAAATCTGTCAAATTTTAGCAAATTTTAAAAATATTCACTTTAATTTGCATAGCAGCTTATATCACTTAATAGTTCATTTCTAAATTAGCTCATGAGATTTATATATCTTTACAAAATACTTGTTATGTTCTATTATCTCTAGAAAGACAGTATCATAGAGGAGTTTAGCCTATTATATAAGTAGTCTGTAGATTTGACAAATAAAGCAGAGTTGCACAACTGTTTGAAAATTAGAAACATCCCAGTAGAGAATGAGTTATTACAAAATGGGGTTTTATATCAGAGAGCAAAATAATACAAGTAAAAATTCCTGCCTCTGTCACATACAATGTATATACTCAAGGATCCAGCTAATCATGGCAGATGGAAAAATACTCTTATGGCTGGGGAAAATAAATCAACATTTGCTTGCATACTAGACCACTTCTTTTCATGAACTCTAAGCTTCCTTATGTTTAATAATATTTAGATATTTAAAGCATAAATGGAAACTATTTTTGACCTCTTACAAAACTATTCCAGGGCCTGTCCAAGTAAGATCAAAACACATATTTGATTTGAAACAACCTATACAGTCCTTAATGATATTAACACATGGAAGCCATAGATGGGAAGTGAGTGCCAGGCTAAGCTCAAGGCCACTCATGAGCAGAGAGAAGGGCATGTGCTCTAGACACCCCACAAAGCATCAGAAGACACTGAGCTGCAATAGGTCCGCCTAGGATGCAATGGAACTGGGACGCAGCCCCTGGACATGGTGTTTCCCACAATCAAGTTCAGAACACTCCCAGAATGGAAGAAGTGGTATTCCCCTGTGGGCCAAAGGATTATCCACAGAAAAACATCTCTGGTCAAATAATCACTGGGCAGAATCTGTGAAAACTGTAAATGAACACTGCAAGGTAAACCACGTGTGATGTGAATGTAGTAGTCTAAGTCATAATTATTAGCATAAACTCTCATTGGAAGAAGTAGGGGGAGGGGTACTTCACAGCAGGCCCCCTTCCAGAATGATGGCCTAAGGAGTCCTGCAGAACTATACTGCAATTCAGCTATTTTCTCAGGAGCCAGCATCGTGACACAACAGCTTAAGCCACTGACTGCATCGTTGACATCCCTTACTGGACCACTGATAGACTTCCTGGCTATTCCATTTCCAATCCAGCTCCCTGCTGAAGTGCCAGAGAGTGCAACAGAGATTCCTGCAAGTTCTCGGGCCCCTGTGGCCATAGAAGAGATCTGACTTAGCTCCATGATGGCGCACCTGCAAGAACAGTAGATGATGGTTCAAGTCCTAAGGGCCCTGCTACCTAGATAAGCAGCCCAGAAGGAGTTTCAATCTCTACGCTTCAGTCTGGCCCAGGACACACCACCACGGCTGCCTGTGTGTGCAGGCATGGGCACCCAGGCATGTGAGTCTGTCTTTCGCTCACTCTAATTCCAGCTTCAGAAAAATTTAAAAACTACAACACATTTTTTTTTCCATTTCCTCTAAGCAGTTGAAACCACAATCATTTTATTTTTTGTCTGATACATGAGGAAAAGGTTAGGTCTAGATTCTGGAGAACCCATACCATCATCAGCCAAGGATTCTGCTATGTATTTCACCACAAATACATAATATCTTTACTCTCATATATCAAAATACTCAAGATTTTCAAATAAGGGAATAAAGAAATTTAGTGAATTAAATCCTCAAGACTTTGTCCAAAATGTTACAATACTCATCTGTGAAAAACACAGAATTGGGCCAACAAACATACACATAAATACCAAATTAATGAGTACACTGTTGTTCTGGATAGAACACACACATGAAATTCAATGACAAACGAGATGCTTAATTTCTTACAAAGAGGAATCAACCTGTATTTAAGTAATAAGATGAAAAAAACTGATAACCTCAAAACAAAAAATATCCTATTTTTAATTTTTATTGGAATAATAAAACATGGCAAACATTCGAAAGTAATGCATTTAAAACATGACCACTACTCTCCAGACTACCAAAAAAAAAAAGTGAACACAAAGAAGGGCTGGTAAAAATGTCCATATGCCAGCCGAAGTAAATCTATACCCGTAGGCAGAGTCCTAAGTAACGGCTTTCAGATGGCATTTGGACAACAGCAGCCTCTGATTCTGTTCATCCTATTCCGTACTTAGAAATTCCCTCACCAAGCAGCTCTAAGGATCCAGACATTATCCACTGTGCGTCCCAAGTTGAGGAAGCTGGTCAGAAAGCAAAGCTTCAAACTCTTGGACTCATATTTCACAACTTAAACACCTAGAGATTTAAGTACATTTTCAGAACTATTTAATCACGGCCAGAAATACTCAGGCTAATCCTCTAAAGATACGTCTGAGATCAGCTGTCAGTTAATACTATCACAAACGATTAGATGTCAAGGGGTTAAATTATTGCCACAATAGAGCCAATTATTGCCTTTTAACAGAGAAGAGAATTAGATAATCCTGGTAAACAGAAGAAATTCATATGCACAGAATGAAATCCAGGGCAGATAAATCTGACATATAACAAACTGAATATGGGTGGATAAAAAGTAATAATTTTACAATTTATCACAAAATATATGAGAGGTCTGTGAGAAAAGAAATCTACTAGCCATATGAAGGGCTGGAGTAATAAGTCATTAAGTCATAGTGCAAATATACCAGAGATGGCAAATATAAATAGCTATAATGACATACATGCCTCGACCAAAAGTTAGTAGAAAACTTTTCCTGAAATGTGCCACCAAGGATATTTTGCACCATTTTCCACTTCACAGATACAAGAAACATCTCAGTTTCTCTTAAACCTATTTTATAAAAAATGAATAGGAACTGTAATGCTAAAGAGTGACACTCCTCTGCAATGCGAATCAATATAAAGAACAGGAACTATGTCCAACTACAGTCAGATACCCATTCCATTGTGCCAAGCTCTAAGGATCCCAAAACTTCCCACATCTCAAAAGGAAAACAAATCCCATATCGTAATTATCAGTTCGGCTTTTTTTTATGTTTGTTACCAACTCAGTTTCTTATAAACCATGTGGTCAAAAAAAAAAAAAAATCCACTTTGAATCCTCCAATTTAATCTCCTTACCCAGAAATTTAGTGGCAAATTCAAAAAAATAATTTCCTGTGGGATTCTTGGATTTAAAAAAAAAAAAAGCACAAAACAAATACAAGGCTTAACCAGCATTCGGGCAGTTGAATTCATTCAGCTTAAGCTTTCCCAAACTCACTGTGTTGGGACCCTACGACCAAATATGGCTCTTTTTTTATATGGGATCACAGGGGTGGGCTCTAATCTGATAGGACAGGTGGCCTTACCACAAAATGAGGCATCAGGCTAGCACAGAAGAGAACCCAGGAAAGGGAAAGGGACTCTGCAAGCCAGGAAAATTGTCCTCGGATCTTGGAATGGCATCCTCCAGAACCATGAGAAAACAAATGAGTGTTGTTTAAACCCCAGCTGAGGTTTGAGAATTGTTCTGGCAGCCCCAGCAGATCTAAAACAATGACCTGAATAAAGAAGAGGGAGCCTTTCTTCATTGTCAAACAACATGAAAAACGGACTACACACAGTCAATGACTACTACAAACGTAATGTATCTGCAGCATGTATTGCTAATCCTCCAAATTATTAATTTACAGAAATCTAATCAACTAATAATTTTCAGAATCAATGCTAGGTAAGTTCACAGCTCTCGTTAAGTATCTTGTAAAGGCAGCTTGGAACACAGCACAGGATTAATTTGAACAACTAAAACTGATATTTAGTTGATAAGGCTATGAATCACAGAGCAACAATCACTCTATTAAACACAGAAACATTTTACAAGTTACATAATGGATTCATTTATTTACTATATCAATAAGTATGTTAAGTAAGTGAAACAGAGAAGGAATTTTAAAATAAAGTAGTCTTACATCTTCATAGTTAGTAGCTTGCAATTATGTAAGAATCTGCATAGGTGTCTGGTGAAACGATGCCACTGGATCTTTTCTATCTGTGAGAATTTTCTATTGGGAGTTAGCCAAATAATGCAGCAAAATCACTAAGGGATGGCTCAAAGCTAAAAACCATGGAAAACAGAAAATTTGAGTAAGAAGATTACAGCTTATAGAGTTAGCAATAATATTAGGTCCCATAATTTTGTTGCTTTAACTGCTATGTTTCCTTTGGCAAAACTCTAATAACAATTTTGAAAAGAAATGTTTGCATAAAAAACAAAAACAAGGTAAGAAGACGGCAATTTTTTTTTTTTGGAATATGAAAGGTCACCAAAGAATTAAGTCTGAACTACAATTCAAATTCAAATCAACTTAAAAGAATCACTTTCCTTTAATAATGTCTCCACATTTCTTAGTTAAAAACAAGCAAGAAACTAAATTATCCCCATATTAGCACATATCTTAAAAATGTAAAAAAGACCTGTTGCCAATTAAAGTATTCCAGGAATGTGACTTAATGTTACATAAAAAAAAAAAATCCTCAAAATACTAAGTGCATAACATTTTTTATTTCTACAATAGAAATATAAAATACTGGGTAATTATTCATATAAGAGTTAAATACACTGTATCATACATTTGATTTAAAAAATCAATGTCAGTAGGCAGTTAAAACACAATGTTTGTACTCAAGTGCACTTACACAATGAATGGAGACAAATGGTAGCACAAAGGTCAGAGACAGAAGCTCTAAGCTGCCTTGCCAGTAACCAAAGAGTACCTGAGGTCTTGATTTCCATAAGAAAATCATATGATGTGATCTTTAAAACTACTTCAGTTGTAACACTTGCGTTATTGCAAATGCGTTATTGGGGCCCAGCGGCGTGGCCTAGCAGCTGAAGTCCTCACCTTGAATGCCCGGGGATCCCGTATGGGTGCCAGTTCTAATCCCGGCAGCTCCACTTCCCATCCAGCTCCCTGCTTGTGGCCTGGGAAAACAGTCGAGGACGGCCTAAAGCTTTGGGACCCTGCACCCCCATGGGATACCTGGAAGAAGTTCCTGGATCCCGGCTTTGGATCAGCATAGCATCGGCCGTTGCACTCATTTGGGAAGTGAATCATCGGACAGAAAAAGTTCCTCTCTGTCTCTCCTCCTCTCTGTATATCTGACTTTCCAATAAATAAATAAATCTTTAAAAAAAAAAAGCAAATGTTTTACAATGTCAAGAAAATATTATGCAATGAAACTGTGATTCTTTGGAATGATACCTAAAACAGGACAGCATACAAAATCTCTAAATAACTTAGAAGCATATTTATTACCCACTTTTAAGATTTGCAACTCTGATCCAATAAAACAACATTTGACAATTAGCTAACAAAATGACAATGAACGACAACACTCCCATACATGGTCCCATCTCCAGAGCATCTGCCTGCCCTCACCTGGAAAACTATCCTTACTGACTCACTGTAAACGCCTACGTTCCTTAACCTTCCCTGATTTTCTGACATTGAACTCATATTTGCTTGAGCTGATGCTTCTCTTTGATCCTTTCTGTTCAAATTAACTGCCTAGATTTCAATTCCTGTGATGGAGATTCTTTTGTTATTTGTGCTGGTTTGGCCCTTCTGGGATCCTGTGTGCCCATTTCTCACAAACAGAAACCCTTGAGTGGCGTCGTCTACACGCTGACATACAATCAATCATACATGCTGTCACCAAATGCAACTGCAGACTGCCCTTCACCTGTGAAGCTGCAAGCAATTCGCTCAGGTCACACTGTTATAACCGAATTACAGGAAAAACTTCATTGTTCCCCCTGCCTTCCATCCTACCACTTCCTCCAATGTACCTTTGACACCACTCCTCAGAGAGATGCTTCTAAACCAGCAGCACATTGCTGTCTTGGTCAAAACTCTTCTGAGATTCACTAAATGCCCACCTGAATCCAAGCTCGTAAAAGTGGTGCAATGCTCTTGTTTACTGCACGTTGCCCCCAAAGGCTTCCCACGTCCTTCCTGACACAGCTACACCCTACCTCTGATTGAAGGTTCCGCTCCTGACATTGATTTGTTATTGCCAAAGCACTTGCACTTTTTTCCATTTTTCATGTTGTTTCTCTTCTGTGTCATTCCTAAAGGTTTCTCAAAATATAGGATACTTCCTCTTTTTGGGATTATTTTCAGGATTATTCTCAGATGTCAGCACCCATGGCAACTATTACATATTTTTGTTATAACCTTTATATATCATTGTGAAATTATCAACACGTGTGTTTGTCCTTTCCAAAAAGAATAGTTTATTTAAGATTCTTCCTTGCTCATTGTTATTTTTTTAAGATTTATTTATTTTTATTGCAAACTCAGATATACAGAGAGGAGGAAAAACAGAAAAGAAGATACTCCATCCCTCGATTCAATCTCCAAGCGGCCACAATGGCTGGAGTTGAGCTGATCCAAAGACAGGAGCCAGGAGCTTCTTCCCAGTCTCCCACATGGCTACAGGGTTCCAAGGCTTTGGGCCGTGCTCCACTGTTCTCCCAGGCCACAAGCAGGGAGCTGGATGGGAACTCACATCACCGGGATTAGAACTGGTGTCCGTATGGGATCCTGGTGCATGCACGGGAAGGACTTTAGTGCACCAGGGCCCACTGTTATGTTTACAGCATATAACACAGTATCTAGAATATTTCAGTTATCCAGTAAATGTACTAGAGTAAGGTTCTAAAAAACAAAGCAAAAAATAAAAAAACCAATGACCCAAAAAACAAAACCAACCAACCAAGTAAATAAATAAAAACCCACAAGGAACTCCTTGCAGGGCATTCCTTCCAGACCATCAAGCCTCCACTCTTCTCACTCATTGATTATTTCATTTGGGAATGTGGTGCTCAGTAGGCTTCCACTTTACATTACGCACCAAGGATAAAAATGCAACTGCGATGCAACCCAGGCCTCTGGTTCTTCTAGAATTAGCACCAACAGGAGACATCCATTCAGCAGATTTATGAAAACAATTACTGAATGCCCTTAGAGGTCCTTCTAATACTGCGAGATGTCAGCACAGACCAGCAGAATAGCAATTCTATTTTCCATACAGGTTTTGTTCTCTGATTTCAGATCTTATCTTCAATACTTATAGAGCTGGACAGTCATAGTTCATGGGAATTACAGTATTGCAGCCCATCAATAACCTAAGCCATCTTTGTGGTAAATAGATTCAATTCCTCCTAGTTCAGTTGGTCAGCACGGCATTTTTTATCACAACCCTTTTACACTGTAGAAGAACAGTTGTCTCATGCAGTATTAAAACTGGCTTGATCAGAAGTTCAATCCCATTAAATGATAAGGGAAAACTGCTCACCAGCTTCCAAATTAAAGGGCTATGATTAAGAGTCATCTCTGGCTCTCATAATTTAACTCAACCACAGCAGTGAAAGCTTTCTGTTCAGAAATGATAAAGATTTTCACTTGAAAGGAAATTCCAAGTACATTGCTCTTGTTGTCAGAGCTGTGGAGTTGGGCAAAAAAAAAAAAAAAAAGAGAACTGTTGGGTTAAGCCTTCACAATAGTTTCGAGCCAAAAAATTTGAAGGTAATAAAAATGTACATTCCAAATCTGCCTTGCCTGTGGCATCAATACAAATTGGTATCTGTCTGTCAGAGATGGCTAGGGAGGCAAAAAGGCCACCATTTCCTAAGTAGGAAAGGAAAATGTCCATGCTAACGTAAATTCTGCTGTTCAATCATCAAACTTTTCATCAAGAGGAGCTCATCACGTGCAGTCGCCCTTCAAGGTGGCACTGCTTCCTGCCCCGTCGCCCCGCCCACCTTCGTCACTCCATGTGTTCACTCAAGCATTCTTACCTCTTTGTCACTGTTTCACACATAAATACTCAACTAGCAAAGCTTACTGCTGCTGTTGCTAAGTTTAAATGTTTTTCCAGGGAAGCTTCCTCTGAAAGCTGGTAACACCACACCCTGCCACTCTCCCAGCACAGACACCCAAGAAACTGTTCTTTTCCTGCATTCCCTGGTCACTGCTTACATGTCACTACGACAAAGACTTCCAGAATTTAGTTATAGCTACATTTTCCCTGTTCAACTTTACAAATGCGATTAAAGTAGACAACTTGCTGACCATTACTCCCATCCACAGTGTGGGAAATACAAATGAGAATACCATCACTCCTCTTGCCTGAGTGAGCTGAGACTCCAGATGACAAATTTCTTTCTGAATGCCTTTAAAGTAAATAAATTAATCTGGAAGAAAGACAGGAAAGGAAGGGAAGGGAGGAGAGAGAAAGGAATGTAGGGAAGGAGAGAAGGAAAGAGGAAGGAAGAGAATGTCAGGGAAGGGAAAAAAATGAAAACGTGGTGGGCATGTAGGCACAGCACAATAGCCCTCCACCACCACAACTGGTTTCCCATTTGGGCACCAGCTGGAGTTTTGGCTGCCCCAAGGCCTTGGACCCTTGTACCCATGTGGGTATCCAGAAGAAACTCCTGGCTCCTGTCTTTGGATTGGTCCAGCTCGGCTTTTGTGGCAATTTAGGAAGTAAGCCAGTGAACAGATTTCTCTCTCTGTAACTCTGACTTTCAAATAAAATAAAAAAGGGAGAAATAAAATTTTTTAAATATTTGGGTTTTTTTTTGCTAACCTCTCATTCAATTTAAATCATAAAGAGAATCATGAAGCAGGAAAGACACCTTTAAAATAAAGGTTTACCACTGTCATTCCATAAAAGACATGAAGAAAAGAATGTGCTTGAGGCACATGGAGTTGTCAGGTTTTGGGGTTACTCTCAGGGCCCGAACTATCCTGAATGTATGAGAGTACAGGACAGGTCAGTCCCAGCTGCTCGGATAGAGGCACATTTGCAGAGACACTGCCCAACTCAAGAAAGCGGAGAAAAGTCTGATTGTCTAATTCTTGGGATTGTAATAGTTTTTCTCCCATTGTTTATGTAGTTTAGCAAAATCATGCTGAAATAAGAAATATGGAAGTCTCTTAAGTGCAATACCCTGACATCGTATCCTGTGGTGAAGAATTACATTTTCATATGGCTAAAGCAAATAGGGTTTCTTGAAGATTATAAGCATTATAACTTTAGTATCCAAAGATTAATTACCTTGCTTTCCGCTAACCAGCGATGTGGATCATAGTGGATATCAGGACTAGATGAAAAAACCTACAATAAGAGGAAAATGGTATTAGAAATACATTTTTCTCTAACATGAAATTATTCACCATAGCATCAAAAAAGTGTAAGCCTCATATTTAAAGACTTAAAAAAAAATAAGAAGGCTTATGCTTTAATGCTCAACCAAAATTTACAGGAGATTCAAACTGAAACATCCGCACTGATTAAAAGCCCATGCTCTTCATGTTCTATAACAAAAGTAACACTCAGATCAGAATTATGGCAACACAGAGAGCAGAGTGAGTACAGAACTGAGATATCATCCAGCCTCCTGAGCTCTCTAACCTTCAAAAATTTATCAATGAGCATGATGTATCTTTGATAAGAAACACTTCTAACTATATGATAGTGACAGTTTATAGGTATGAACTTAAAGTGACAAGAAAAAAAATGTAATAGAAACAAATACCACCATCACTCAGAACTTTTCTGAAAGGTCCTATCATCAAACGGAGTCAATACAGGGTTGAGTGATCTGAGAATGTGTGTTACGGTTAGACAATGTCAAAGCAATGCAGTCTCTCCAGAACTTGAACTTGGTGCTTCTTTCAAGGAATTCTAACCCTCATCATAAATAACTCTTCTTGAATACAATTAAAAATACATAAATGAATAAATGCAAAAGTTGACTTTAAAAATAGAAAAACAAAATTAAATATAATTTGTTCAACTGGAAAGGCAGAGAACATATTGATGACTTGTCTAGATGCCAGACTCCTAACAACTGAAGTCCCAGGTTAGCATTTAATGAACTGTGTGGCCAATGACTAGTTACTGAATCTCTATTAACCTTACTTAACCTCTCTACGATGAAACTGATCAGAGCAGCTAAGCTAAAGGTTGTTTTTGGGTTAATGAGAAGGCACTCGCTATACTTACCATAGTACTTATAATGTACAATTCTACATGCATGTAACATACTTACACTAACAGACATAGCCTGTGGTAACGAAAAATTCGGAATCCAAGGTTCCTGAAAGCAAGGTTATTCCCCTTGGCTGGAATTGCTGACTCTCAGCGACATTTCCTTTGCTGGAGTGAGATACAGGCAATTCACTGGAATAACACCATACTTTCTGGCACCATCATTGCGGACTAGACACAGTGCCTCGTTCTAAGAAGCACAAGAAGTTGCATTGTTTACTGAGCCTTTCTGGATGGAATAAAAACATGGCCACCGTGCAAGGATGGATTAAAATCCATGATAATTATATACCTAGAAACCAAAGTGAAGATTATGGTACAAGAATTCATAGTTACTTTCAATTTCTCCATCGAGTCCCTGGAGAAGGTTTTGCAAGCTGCATCGATCTCCTTCCCTATCACACCAAGGATGGATTCTTGCTCCGTCTCCAGACAAAGCAGCTGGTCCTTGAGCTGCAGTCTGGCCTCTTCCATCCTCCGCAGGTGCTCTTCTTCATTGCTTATATGTTTTTCCTAATGCATTGTCAAGAAATAAACAGAAGCCGATTAAAGAGTGGAGAAAAGAAATACTAGTTCTACACAGTAAATTAAAAGAACTGGATTTGAAAACAGATTTGCCAACATCAATCGCTTTGCTAAAATCAGTCTACTTATTGTCCAAGCAAAAGATGAGTTCAGAGGTGGCGCAGTTTTAAAACTGTTAAGATGATACTCAGCAAGTGAAATTACGGCAACTCTATAACTCAAAACAAACAAAAGTCCTTTGTCATTTAATGATACATCACAATTAATGGACCAGAGTAAAAGGTGGTATCACAAACCAACTTTAAGCTTTCACTAAACTTTACCAACAAAAAGTGAGAAAACGTAAACTGCTAAATGTGAAGTTACTGGTTTCTTTCTTTGGAAGAAAAGTTCCCATCATTATCACGTCACAACATGGCTCGGGGGGCGGGGGAAACACAAACCTAAGTTTCAAGAGCAGTCATGTTATATAAAGGCTTTTGACCAGTGAAATTTACAAAAATAGAAGTGTTTCCTACTAAGTAAATAAATCTACATTATGAAAAGGGGTTCCTAAGGAGCCTTTTTAAAAGAGCCTTTTTTAAAAAGTCACAAAAATTTGGGGGACTTCTCCAGGCAAAACAATTCTCAATCATGTCTGTACGATTTTATTGCTAAAGAAATTCAAAGTAGTACCCTCAGGTTTTATAACAAAAAAATAACCTCTTTGTTTTATGTGCAATCAACCAATATCATAATAACTGACGAATGCACTTTTACTCATTACCAGGTAGCATAATCAACTTTATCAAATAAAACAAAACTGGCTTAAAATTATTTTAAAAATAAAACATCTACTCATTAAAAAATAATCCTGACAGATAAAATGATCATTTTGTAAAAGAAACACAAATTATAGTTTATTTCCATTTACTTTAAGATAATAATAATAAGCGACCATTTGTCCCAGTGATTAAAATACTACTTCAGATGCCCAAATATCAGATGGAAATACCTGCTTTAGATACCTGGCTCTGCCCCTGACCTTCAGTTCATGCTAATGAGTGTCACAGTGCTTAAGTTCTTGGTCCCTTACAGGCATGTCAGAGACTTGCACTGAGTTCCTGGCTCCTGGCTTCAGCCTGGCCAAGTTCTAGCTGTTGTGGCCATGTAAGAAATCAGAGGATAGGAGAATCTCTCTCCCTTTCCCTCTCTCTCTCCTCTCCCCCTCCTTCCCTCCATTTCTTTCTCCTCCCTTTCTACATGTCTATTTCTTCCTTTCAAATAAACTCAAACGTGTTACAATATGGATGACTAGCACTCCCGGCCAGAGGGGCTGCGCCTTTCATGACCCAACTTCCGCCTTCTGTTCAGGCTTACCTTTATTTTCAGTCTCTTACTTTCAGTATTTGCAGTTCCTCAGATCTGCCTAGTACTCTCCAGACCACAAGTGGCATAGAGAACTCTGCTTGAGCTGGTTCAGCTTGTAAGTGGAGAAAGCTGCTATGAAACAGTGCTTAACTTAAAGAATTCACCTTAGCCCTCTATCTAGGTACAGAACTCAGCCATGGTAAAGCTAAGGCACTGGCATTTCTTTGCTTTAGGCACACAGAACGGAATGGTTTAAAAAATAAAGATTTATTTAATCATTTCAAATAGAAAGAGATCATTTCTTCCATCCACCAATTCATTCCCGAAAAACCCTGTACAGCAGCCGGGACTGGGGTTGGGCCAAGCGCAGAACCACCTAGGTCTTTCATATAAGTGACAGGCTCTGAAATACTTCAACCATCAGCTCTTGCTTCTGAGGTATGTTACTAGAGAGCTGGACTGGAAGCAAAATAGCCAGGACTCAGAACATCATTCCAATGTCGCAAGCAGTGACAAGACAGCCACTGTACCAGCCTGAGGATGGGACTGGCCTTCACTAGCCGTCACTGCTAAAACACCACTCAGTTAACCACTTTATGGCGAGAGCTGTAGGATGTTTATCTCAGCATAATCAACACATTCGGAGAGATTCACCAAGAGGAAAAACAAAATTCTAATCAGAAGGTTGCTGAATCAACAGGAACTCAGAGAAATGAGAATTCATTTTATGGACAAACGCTTGGGAGGCATCAGATGAATGGCAATCTGACTTGTCCAGTCACGCATCAGAGATGTAGAAACCACAACAGCAGTAGCATTCCACTCTTCTGAGAAGCCCTTGGATGGGAAATGTTGAGGTCTAGCTCCTTAATGTCATCCTTTGTCTGTTCAAACTCTTCTTCCATTTTAATAGATAATTTCCTTGGATTTATTGATATTTTTGCTTATTCCATTCTAGCAGCGTTTTCAAAAAATGAACATCCTGACCCCAAGCACTCTGGGAACTTTACACTTGACTTACGAGGAAGCAACCTCACTGAGAAGTCCCTAAGTGAAGACATGTGCTGTTGGAGGTCGCATGTGGGTTGCGTAAAGGTCCCGGCTGCTCCCCTTCCCACCCAGCTCCCTGCTTGTGGCCTCGGAAAGCAGTGGAGGACAACCCAAAGCTTTGGGACTATGCAACAGTGTGGGAAACCCAGAAGACACTCCTGACTTCACATCGGCTCAGCTTTGGCTGCTGTGGCAACTTGGGAAGTGAACCAAGAGATAGAAGATCCTTCTGTTTCTCACCCTCTCTGTAAATCTGACTTCCAAAAAGACAAAAGAAACTATCTCTTCATCCAGGAACCTCTTCTTCGACAATTCTATTTGAGCAAAAACAGCTATAGCAACTGAGAAATCACAGCTAATGGTAAAGAAGAAATGTGGCCAAAAAAATAGCTGATGTCAATCCAAACTTTCGGTCAGACTTGGAAACATCTGAATTAATATGGACAGATGATAATATTTAGGCATTTTTGCAGTATTCTCCATTCTTCTTGGAAATTCAGACAGGAAGTTTTATTTATGGGATCATATAATAACTAACAAAAAGTAACATTCTAGGTAACCAGAGAAAAGACACAGGTATTTTAGACACTGTTTAGAAATCTGAAGACACAGTCCCATTTTAATGTTTCAGAGCAAATGGGCATAGATGCTCAAGGCTACGGATGTACAGAGCCTCTCTTGAAGTAGCAAGGATGACAGATGGAGTAGACTATATCATTAGAGGGAAGCACAGGAGAGACACGTCCTTGGCAAGACTTGAGAAAGAATCCTCAAGACAAACTCAACGCTTAATTTCATAAATCAGGAAGGTAAAGCCCCCAAAGAAAAAAAAGATAAATAAATAACCTGACAAAAGACAGACAACCTATAAGCTAGAATCTGCATTCTTGGCCTCCTCCACCCTAGAGATGTACACACATAAAATATGCGCTTGGTCAATTTTGGCTAAATGTGTACTGACCAGACACAAAGCAGCTCCACTGTTCAGACGGTAGAGGCTTGCAAAATTTCCATTTTAGAAAAAGAAATTTAACATCACATATCACTCACTTTCATCCCTACAGAAAAACACTAAGACTGCTCATAACCTCATGACAAGCACACGCATGCACACACACACACACACACACACAAACTGCTGACTGACTTGATCAATGATCTCTGAATTCCAAGGATTAGAAAGACAGTTGTAATTACATTTACCTTTCAGTATATCCTATAAAACACAGAACACAGACTTATTCAGAACCTCAAAAGAACTTAAGCAAATAAGATCCTAAAGAAAAAAAGAGTATTTATTCAATACAACCAGAGCTTATCCAAAATAGGACACCTTTGGTAAGATTTATAAAATTCCTTCAAACATCTTCAAGAGTTCCAGAAGTGACACTTCACATTGAAGATAGCTGTAACATGGAACAAAAACAGCTCTTCACACAACTTGGCAAAAATATCACACGGAGCTGTACTCACAGGAGTGAACAATCCATTTAGAAAAATATTTTTCCCGTACTGAAAATTCAGTTGGGCAAGCAAGAAAATGTTTCAGCTTCAAGGTCATCTTTAATACATTAGTTATGAGGGGTGGGAGCGGTGTGGTCGCACAGGATGCCAATCCTCCACCTGCTGCACTGGCATCTGAATAGCCACTGTTTCGTGTCCTGGATGCTCCACGCCCATCCAGCTACTTGCTTATGGGCCTGGAAAGCAGCAGAGGATGTTTCAAGTCTTTGGACCCCCATACCCACGTGGGAGACCCAGACAAAGCCCCTGGCTTTGGATCAGCTCAGTTGCAGCCATTGCAGCCATTTGAGGAGTAAATTAGTGGATGGAAAAATCTCTCTCTCTCCCTTTCTCCTCTCTTTCAAATCTTCCTTTCAGATAATAAGTAAATCCTTAATACAGAAGTTATGAATGGTGGAAAGGGTAAAAGGCAGAGCAAACAAATAATATGAAAGGTCAAAGTTAAAACCAGTACAAATACATTTAGTTCCTCAAACTACACCTAGTTGGTAGAGACCTGCAGATTTACATGCAACACTGAAAAACTTCTGAGAAAGGAAACTTCTACAAGTCAAGATAACTATTATACCTAAGCTTTAAATCTAAGACCCTAGTACTACAGGATAAATTAGTAAATTCACCTCAACAAAAACTGCATTTGTCTGGCAGTCACTATGTCTGACTCTAACTATATTTCACACTTCCTGCACCAACAGTTAACTTGGTTACAGGAAAGTTAAGACAGAATACGAATTATCAACCAGGGCAGCAACAACAGCACAACTGAAACAGAAGGAATTTACTACGGAGATTATACTAAATTTGTTGAGAATTTAATCTGGAAAACTATCACAGTGAATTGCTGGAAACAATGCATTTCATTGCCGCATATCTTCACTGAACACGAGGGAAAAGCCGTGGAAGCAGGTTATTCTACCCATCTCTACTTACAACAATCTTCTACCCGTGATTACTGTTAACCCCTATTTTATATGAACTTTGATGCCGTTAAAACACTTCTAAGTTTATAAACCGATCAACATGACAAGAAACATAACCTGACACAAAACACACAATGTCATACAATTTTTTTCTTTTAAAAAATGCATATATTTGCCCCAAGTAGCATCACCTTATTATGCCAGTTAACTATGCCAGAATACCAATTTGTTGAGAAAGCAAGAAACGTTTCCCTTCTTAGAAAAGCGAGGCTGCATTATATAAACTATCTTCAATCACATGCTCCATTTACTAAATCAAGCTCACTGCACGGCTCAGAGTAACACGGGGACAGGTAGCCAGCTTGCTTCCTGTGGCAATGAATTTGTACGGTTTTGTTTGTGTTAGTTCCCTCAGTGTGAAGACCTGAAGTACCTGGATACATGTTTATACACTGGGACTTCAAAAAATTCATAAAAAATACATGTCATGAAAAAATTATGCGTAATTTCAAAAACATCTTATGCCAAAAAAAAAAAACCTTACATTTGAATTAATTCTACTTTCCTACATCCTCTTTGAAATATTCTTTTTCCACAGTTTACCTACAAATCATACAGGCTCAGTCCCTTATTTTAGAGGTGAAAAATGAAAAAAAAATGTGATTTTTCTGCTCAAATAACAAGTAAAATTACAAACTGCTCACCTGTTACTTTATGTAACACCATGACTTCAATCACTTTGACAAACCTGCCAACCCTTTTCCCATGAATACTTTCTTTGTGGACCATCTGTCTAAAATGATTCAACATAATCGGGCTCTAAACCTCCAAAAAGCACAGCTCTGCGGCTTTTCTATTTGGAAGATCTTAGGTACATCATCATTATTACCAGATCATTAGGCAACACATATGTGGTCAATCAATACTTGCCGATTGGCTGACGTCTTCGAAGAAAGACTAATCATCATATATTTAGAAGCAAGCAGTAACGAAACAGAGCAGCTATCATTAACTAGAATTTTATTTGGTGCCAAAAACTGTACACACTTAATATTTTTTTTTACAATTAGTCTTATAATAATGCATTTATTTGAATTTAAGCGACTCACCTAAATCTAGAAAAGAATTCAAACTCAAGGATTTGCCCATGTCCACTAATGCTGCACTACCTTTTAAAGAAAAAAGATACTATGTAACAGATGGCTTGACCCAATGAAATTGAGATTCATAACCACTGCACCCAAGAATGAGTCAACATATATAATTAAATAAATCAAAAGCATATAGTCATGTTTAGTCAAAATAAATGTGAAAGCAAAGCATACAAGCTTTACAGCTGGACTTTTAGTATATTCAATCAACCACAGGTTAGAAACATTCAGCAAAAAGTTATTCTGCTCAGAATAAGTACAAATTTTTCTTTCTTGTCATCATTCCCTAAATAACACAATAACTATCTGCATAGCATCTACATTAGATTAGATATTAGAAATAATCTAGAGAGGAGTTAGAGTATACAGGGGGATGTGTGAAGGTTCTATTGCACAAAGGACTTAAGGCATCAATGGGGATCATGGAGCCAATCACCTGAGATTGTCTGGATGACCATGGTAACAGACTACTACAGGTGACAGAGATCACTTCATGGAAATGCATATTATGAAAAGGCCAGGCACAGATCTCCAAAATTGTATGCACCACAATAAACTTTGCTTTTAATTCCATTTTCTATGATCTTTGTAAAGTATCCTCCTAAAATTCAATTATTTTATTTATTTATTTTTTTAAACCAAAGCAGTGAAACAGATCTCTCATCTGTTGGTTCACCCTCCATGTTTCCACAACAGCCAGCCAGAGCTGGGCCACACCAAAGCAAAACGACTGGAAATCAATTTGACTTTCTCATGTGAACAGGTGGGATCCAACCACTTCCATGGTTGCTCCCTGCAACCCAGGGTACAGATTACTAAGAAGGTGAATGTAGACTGGAGCTAGGAGTTAAACCCAGCTCTCAGACATCCTGGAACTCCTATAGAGGAGGCAGGAATCCCAGGCAGCGACTTGATCATTGCACCAAAAACCCATCCTCCTCCTCCAGTTTTGAGAGCAAGCTAAAGTGACTGTGCTGACTGATGGCAGATCTGTGTCCTAGCTCTATTTCATTCTCAGGATCCTGCACAAGGACTGCCACAAAGATACGTAACACATAGCAGTACAATAAAATGATGAAATCTTCAAACTGATCTAAGGTGAATTCTGCACCTATCTGAATGTGTGGTAACACAAACATCTGGAACATCACAAACAGAATCAGGGACCAAATGATTTCAGGTAAAGCAAAGAAAATATTAATTTCAATGTATCATAATTTGGAACCATTTCTTCAATGCAGATATGGAAATCTAAAACATTAATGAAATCTTTCAGCTAAAATTGACTTATGGAAAAGTTGGAAAACTCATTATCTCTACAGAAATTTCATCGTGGAAACATACACATTATATTACACACAATCACAACAAACCATGACACGAAAACAAAGTTACAGCTATTGTCACTATGGACGAACATACAGCAACGTAAGCCACACATCAACCTGTATTTCATTTCCTTAGATTTAAAAACTGGCAGAGGCTTTATTCATATGTAAGTGTGTGTTAAGCTTCATGAACAAAACAGCAAACATAAGCAAGGTATTCTAGAAGGCTATTATCACTTCTGTAACACACCATTTCTTAACAGTTCCCTCACCATAGACTCCAACACTGAACAAAGCCAGCAGTCACTGGGACCTTATCTGTACTGCCCGACCCTTTCTGTCCCTACTTTTCTACTTGTTTTTACTCCTGACTTGCGTCACATCCCCTTGCAAATCCTTTTAGGAAATTAGTACAAAACACACAAAGAAAATTTAAACAGAATATATTCAATTCTTAGATGACTTTTTGTCACAAAAGAATCTCCAAAGTAGCGAGTTCTAAAAATTTCCAGTACTCTACCCATCACATGATATATGGCAATCACTCAAAATGTTAAAAGAAGACAGTGAGCTGGGTGGGGAAGTATCAAAATTACAACCTTCTGAACCCTCACTTTGCCATCACTAAGATGAGCATAATCATTTCAATTAAACACAAAACTAATCTGAGGATTAAAAATTACAATAGTTAGCACATAATGAACACTGGCACGTTAACAATCTCATGTTGATCTTCATTTCTTCATAAATTCCAGGAATTTTCTTTTTAAATCTGCTATAGAATGTTTCTGTCCATCCAGAACTCAAATGTTGACACCTCATCCCCTAATCCCCAGTGTAGTAACAGTAGCAGATGACTGGCATATTCAGATGGTACCCTTGGCAATGAGCTGAATGTCATTATTAAGCAGACCCCAGAGAGTTCCCTGGCCCCTTCTGAAAGGTATCATCTATGAACCTGAAAATGGGCACCACCGACTCTGATTCTTCTAACATCCTGACCTTGAACTCATCAAGCTCTAAAACCATGAGAAATACACTTCTAATGCTTTTAAGTCACTCTGTATGTTACACAACACAGAGTAAGACACTAACTGAAAGAGTTATAAGAATTAAATGAGTGGATTAAATTCCTCCATAAAACATCATTCCTTTCTTTCCCACCATGCCTCTAGATTCCTATTTAAGACACAGAAGAAGCTTTAAAAGCATTCAAAAGTAACAAATTGCCTGAAAGAGTAAAATTCACAGTATTCTAATAAATTACCATTTTTTCTAAGACTACAATTATGCCCTAAAAGAACAAACAAACCGAAGTCTTTTAAATTAGAATAAAATGTTTACCTTCTCTTCTAGTTGATCCTTCAAACATTGATATTTTAGCTTCAATTTCTTATTCTCATTTTCATTCTGGCTTAGTTCCTCTGTCAGCCTCTCACACTGTGACTTCAGCTTCTCCAGCTGACAACGATGGGCTTTAGCTATATTCTTATCTTCTAGACTTTCGGCCTGAGGAAAAGTAAAAAAGAAAAAATGCAATGACCACAAATTACACCAAGCAAATTATACCCTTCATCAATGGTGAAAGAGTCCAGCTTTTAGCTACCTAAGAGTATTACATAAAAAAATAAGCGAAACACCAATAAACGTTCATTTATTGAAGCACTGATGAGCACTTAGCAAGAATTACTAAGTGACCAGTACTGGACTAGAAGCAAAGGTAACAGATACAAAAGGTCAAAGGGACAAATACAAGGATCCACCTGACGGCACTGAATGAGGAGTGCTTGGTTAATGTAGTAACCACGCATTGCGGCAATCCAGAGAGATAGCGATTCCACTAAAAGGGGACTGAATTATTGGAGAAGCACTCCCACAAGGAAAAACAGTGAGAGGGTATTGCTGACTGAGCAACGTCCTCTTCCACGCAGGGAGGAAATTTCCTCTGCTACCTCAATTTTAAGCAATAAATTAGGAGCATTTTATATAATGTAATTACTGAGATCATTTTTGCTGAGATAAGAGTATAGATTTTACCAGCCAAGCAACTAGCAACTTACTATCAAAGAGTTTACCAGTGACTTGTTTCAATATCATGAAATAATATTTATCAACTTATATGAAATAAAATTGGAAAGGGGTTTGCAAAAATGAACATTAGAATAATCTGTTATGTAGATAAGATTCGAATTGAGATGTCAGCTTACAGACATTTCTGAGGACAACGGCAATGCAAAGACTTTGGGTCAGGCACCATGTAAGACCTCTAGATATTCAGATTCTCTTTATCTTATCTTCATAAAAACTTGAAAACAAAGGCATCATTATTGCTTGACTGCCTCTTTTGTGAAACAGAAACAAAGAGAAACTAACAACTTGCCCAAAGGTTTATAATGGGAAAATGCAGAATCAGAAATTGAGCCCAAAAACTCTCAGCCATTTATGCATTCGACCGCTCTGACATATGGCCTCCAAAAAGCACAATATCATAAGGTTTGTAAACATCACCCAGAGGCAACTTACAGTGTCAACTGCCCACAATTATGAACCATCTAAGAAACTACACACAATCTCATTATGATATACATGTTTATGCCTAAAATACATCTGCTTCTTTTACTTCTAAGTTTATTACGCTTGTTAAACTGCTAACGTAGGACCACAATTATCGGAAAGTTTCCTACACAAAGGATATTCTGTCAGTTCAAGACAATTTTTTATTTCATTTACCCCATAAAACTCACCTAAGAGCTGATACCATTTAGAACGAACAAAGGAACTGATTTTATGAGCAATCTTGTATTCACAGCCCCAAAATAAATTTACAAAATAAAGCCTTTCATCAGGATAACTGGCCAATTACACTGTTTTCACCGGAATTCTTTCACTTTTCTATCCCAGCGAAAGCTCAGGTAAATAAGATTTCCTCACGTGGTCATCAGATGGCTGGCTGCAGCTCAGAGAATCTCAAGAGTTGGTGATGTTCATCTCTTACCAAGTTCTTTCCTCTAGAGGGTCTCATTTGACATCCTAAATTCAGCCAGGATGGGAAGCTCTACACCAGTAAATACGGCCTACGGGTCAGAGATGTGTTTCTACCAGGAGGCCTACTCTTATACATGTATTAGCTCAACATTCACTAAGTTTCACCCAAAAAACTGAGTTATTCCTGCAATATTTATTAGTCACATTTTATGTTCAGGACTACAAATTTATGTTGCATTAGCAACAAGATATTCCTTCTCCTATAGAATTGACGAATCATCAAAAGGGCAAGTAATTTGGCCAAGATCGTGTAGCCAGCAATTGAAAAATAGTACATGATTCCAACCCCCCAACTCCGATTCCTGTAAGAGGTGCTCTACAAAATTATTGAAATTACAGTGAGGTAATAGTAGCATATTCAGAAAATATTAGCAGTTACAGGAGGCCATTGCAATACTTTAAGGTAGGAGAACATTGATGCTAGATGGCAAAAATAGATACTCAGTTTGTACAGGGCAAAGTGTACACGGGAAAGCTCACCTTGTGGTGCAGCCAGTTAAGCTGCCATAGGGACAATGGCATCCCATTTCAGAGTGCTTATTCAAGTCCTACTCGCTACTCTGACGCCAAGCCAGCTTCCTCTGAATATATCTGAGAGGATAGTGGAAAAAGGATTCGTTTCTCAGGGCCTTCTCACCCATCGGGGAGACCCAGACAGAACTTTTGGCTTCAGGATGTTGTGAGCTTTAGATGAATTTAGATGAATGAACCAACAGATCAAAGTATTTGTGTGTGCATGCACATAAATATGTCTATTAATCAGACATACACATACACACGCACACACACATATATATATATATGATGAACCAAAACTTAGAGAAAGTAATGAACTCCTGGTAAAGCTGACACATATACAAAGCTACTTATCAAGAGCCTGATTGTGTATACTTAAGTATACTAAATCTGAGGAGGAACACTGTTAACTTTCAATGAATATAAAAAGTAAAAATATAAGAATATATTGGGCCTGCTGTAGTGGCCTAGCAACTAAAGTCCGCACCTTGAATGCACCAGGATCTCATATGGACGCCGGTTCTAATCCCAGCAGCCCTGCTTTCCATCCAGCTTCCTGCTTGTGGCCTGGGAAAGCAGTCAAGGATGGACCAAAGCCTTGGGACCCTGCACCCATGTGGGAGACCTGGGAGAGACTCCTGGCTCCTGGCTTTGGATCGGCACAGCACCGGCTCATGCGGTCACTTGGGAAGTAAATCATAGGACGGGAAGATCTTCCTCTCTGTCTCTCCTCCTCTCTGCATATCTGACTTTGCAATAAAAACAAATAAATCCTAAAATAAAGTAAAAATATAGGAATATAGCAATGAAGTAGCATGAGATTGAGACAAAGGGTAATTTATTTGCTTTCAAAGCAAACAACTGTGCTGTCCCAAACTCTGATTCTTCCTTAAGCTCTTCTGCTGCTGGCATCTGTGTGCCGCTGCCGGGCCACTTAGAATAGCCACACTTCACTTCTTAGACTCCAGTTCTTCCAACTAAAAAAAGAGACCTAAGATTTCAGAAGATTCAAAAAAGTATGAGAAAGTCCTAATTTTTGACACACAGTTCATTTAGGAAGCCTTTATTGTCATCTGCTATAATTGATTCAAAAATCTTCTTAAAGAAAACATTAAAAAAAAATCAATTTTCCACATTACATGGAAAATTTCAAACTGAACAGATCACAGAGCAAGTCTTTTCATTTCCAGCTATTTAAATATTTCAACCCAATAGCCAGGGAGCCAGTTATGTAAGTGTAGAACATTTTGCTAACTACTCTAAGAAGCAGGGATATAAAAATGGCTAAGACACAATTCTCATTCCTCCTTTAAAAACAGACAACCAACAGAAGCACAAGGCAACCTACGTGTGCCGCACCAGAGATATCAATACAGCACAATGCAAACAGGAGAGAGATTTGGATCAACTGCAATCGAGCCTTATTCCAACGAGCTGAGCTTTATTGAAATTTTGTGGATCCGTAAAAGAGGTGAAGAATTCACTGGGCCTCCAAGTATTAGGATGTTCCCCCACATTCAACACTACCACAGGAAATAAAAGATTAGGAAACAACTTATAAAATAACTACAGTATCTACAAATTTCGTTTTTCCCAATATATTTCTACTGTGCATCATAAATACTCTTAAGGTAACAGCTACATTTCAAAAACTTTTGCCAAAAGTAATTATAAATGAGCATTAAGATTCGCCCACTCAATCTCCTATGCAACATTTAGCTGTTGAGTTTAAGAAACTGCTCTAAGTACTTGGGATACAGCTAGAAACAAAATACATTCACTATAAACGCAGTGCATTCAAAGCTCAGTTCTTATGGGATTTTCATTTTAACAAAGATAAAAATTAAGTTTTCACACAGAGCCTATATGCTATGCTGAATGCTATGGGGAAAACAAAGCAGGGTACGGGTGGATCTGCTGCACCGCTGGGAATCACAGTACAAAATGATCCTATTACACAATGGCAGCACCTTAGAAAGATTCCCCAAAACCAGATCTCCGGGAGGCATTTATGCAGCATCTGAAAAGGCTCCAATTTGCACAGCCCATAAGCTGATACCTTAGTTACAACACTAACAAGGAACTGTGGTTTGGGTTGTTATGGCCTTAACAAGTCTTTGCCTCTTTATATTTTAGGAGAAAATAAATGTTGAATGAATCAACAACTTACTCTACCTTTCCTGATCTCCCCAAATAGCTAACTTTCTTTTTAAACGGTTTCCGTGTTCTGAAATAGGTGCTGCGATAACTCTACCTGGCCCAACAGGCATGAGGAAACCTCATTATTGTGGGTTTTATCTTCCCTACAGTGCCTGGGAATACAGAAATCATCTCTAAATATTTACGCTTTATTAACTTCATGAGCCACCGGAAAAAAAAAAAAAAAAACGCCTTGAGCATCATCAGGAGAACTCGGTGCAGGTACCTTTAGTGTCCTAATGTGATGCTCCGCTTCGGTCTTTTCTTTCTTAAAGTGCTTCATCAGCTCCTGGATATTTTGCTCGTGCTTCGTTTTCACACTCTGCAGTGAGGCTGTGAGATCCTCCAGCTCCCTCTGGTGAACATCCCGTTCTAGCTTTAACTGTGTGATGACCGTAGCTGTTTCTTCATCCTTGCACTTGGCCTGTGTGGTAAGGTCAGCAAGGTCCTTGAGCGCCGCTCTCTTGGCTCGCTCTTCCTCGGCCAACTTGTTAGCAAGATCTGCTCGAATGGCACTCAAGTCCTTGATGGACTCTTGCATCTCAAGGAGTCTGGCCTTGTCCTGAGCCTGGCTCTTCCTCAGCTCACTGATTTCTTCCTCCAGGTGGGCTTTCTCAGCTTTCATCTGGCTTTGAATCTTACTGTGTTTTTTCAATTCACTTTCTAATCTATGGGTGTTCTCTAGCGAATTCTTGACTTCCAGCTCCAGTTCAGCCTGATGAGATTCAGCGTCACTTAACTTCTTTTCCTTGGAGTGAAGCTCCTCCTCTTGAAGGGCGCGCTTGCTTATGACATCATTCAACTCCTTTCTCAGATTCTCTATTTGTTGTAATGCTGTATAAAGCTGGCTTTTCAATTCCTCCTTTTCTTTCAGAATCTATCAGATTAAAAACATGAAGAAACATTATTACTAGATTCCCCCCAAAAGTGCCAGATAATAGAAGCTCAACCTACTGAGCCAAAAAAAATTTAAACAATGCTTTGCATTTTTTCATTTTTGAATGACTATTATCTTGAAAATAAAAAGGAGGGGTAAATAGTTACTAAAATAGAGTACCATACTGAAATACATTTCACATTTTTATCAAAACTTACATCAACCAGAACTTTTAAAAATTATTTAAAACTCATATAAAATAAAGCAGAGAAATGGAGAAAAGAAAAAGAACATTTATCAGAAGTTGCAATAATACACTACCAAAAGTAACAGTTACGTTCATTCTAATGAAACAACTACCAGGAGAAAATGCAAAACAGACTTGGGAAAAAATGAGAAGTATGCAAATACGATCTAAGAAAGGTTATAATAAAATAACCTATTTTTTAAAATGTCAACAGTAGATACAGAAATATGCAAAACAGAGGACTGAAGGTAACAAGTAGCATTTGCTGAAGATTAAGGGGAGGCTTGGAAGGCATTCCAGAGAAAAGCCAAGGGACAAGACGTCCAGCAACCTCTGCCAGCTGTAAGGCTTAGCAATCACACTGAAGGACAGAGCCGATCACTAACCCTCAGACCCCTGAATCAGCCCTCCACCCCATCAGTCACCGCAAATGGACATGTGGACACTCGAGGGAGCCACGATTCTTCCTCTCTTCAAAACCGGTAACAAGGACATGGTCTATCTGTGCCTGCTTACTAATGCCACCCCGTCTTCAGGCTCCCATGTTCCCCATTTGGGGAAAAACAGAAAGGCACCAAACCTGCTCTCAGAATTGGAAATAATGAATTAAAATGCGAATATTTCTGATGCATTTCTATACTTTCGTAGTATACCTCAGTGTGAAACAATGTACGATAAAATGTAATCAGTTAACCACTCTACACAAAGTTTCCTCAAGTTCTTCTTAATTTTGGCAAGTCAGAAGAAACAGCACCAAATAAATGAGAAATAGTAAAAGCATTTCATTAAGCTGCCAAGTTTGGAACAAAGAGAACTGAACTTGATTCTCACTCCAACCATGTAATGTTACGGAAACAATTTACCATCATAACGAATAATAACAGGACGTTTATAGGGTTGTGACAAACATTAACATAAAAGGAAAAACAAATTGTGGGGTGAAATTGAAGTTCAAGGAGGAAGCATCGAAGAGATGTATCTTAAAGACTACATAAACAAGAATTAAGCTGGCCCAGCAATTTCCCTGATATAGAGGTACTCTAGAGCACAGAGAAATACGCTTACCTTTCAATGAATATAAATCAGAAAAAAATGATGAAAATTCTCCAAGAACGTTGGTTAGTTAGAACAATATTCATGTATCACTCCGCTCTTTTAGGAGAGTCAAAAGGACAGTCGGGGTATTAAGCAAGGGTCACCGAATACCAAAACTAAGTTATCAACTACCACAAAACTTTACATGGAAGCTTGGGAGTAGACTCCACTTTCAAGTTCACTCATGTGGTATAAGGGCTTGGGTCTCTATTTCCTCACCAGGTTTTGGGAGGATGTTATGCTGAGCCTCCAGGAGGCACCAGACACTGTGCCACCTTCAAAGGCAGCATAAACACAATGAATCCTGCTACTGCTTCAGTCTGACTTCCCCTGCTCTTAACAGCCGGGGGTGGGAGGAACAATTCTGTTTTAAGGGTCATATGATTGACTTAAGACCATCAGATAAACTTCTTAAAATCAACTTGGCCAATATGATCATGGAAGTTATGACAGGTTCCAAGGATTCTACTCAACTCATCAGAAAAGACGAAACCAAATGCAGCAAGTGTGGCTATAAGAACACGAGGGAGGAGCTGTACAGGCAACAGTGCAGCCTCAGCACAGTATCACAGGCTGTGGAGACTGGTGAGCCAGCAGCTGGGGCTACAGAGACCTTGGTGGAAGTCTAAAATAAGAACCCAGACCAGGAACTTGCTGGAGGGAGTGGCACAAGTGACTGCAAACAACGAACTAATCACAATAAGTAAAATTGAATTGTAGACCTGTGGGGGACACAGCTTAGACACCTACCCCAAAGAGAAGAATCTGATAACTAGAAGTACAATGAACAAGAGCAAAAGAAGAGACAAAAACACAATGAATATTTCTGAAGACTCCCCTGCAAAGGAGAAAAACCCTTTGCCAATCTCAGAGTTAACTGAGAAAGACATTGAGAAAATGGGGATACAGAATTCAAAACACCTCTTATAAAACTTCCTATCAACAACGGGAAGCACATAATACAAGAGTTCAATAAATTTGAGGAACTTGTCACACAGGAAATGAGTCAAATGAAAGCTGATATATCAGAAATGAAGAATACAGTGAAGCAAATTAAAAGTACAGTGGAGAGTCTCCAAAATAGAACGAAGGAAGCAGAAGAAAGGATCTCAGAATTGAAAGGTTTTTCCTGTCACCAGGAGGAGGGAGGGAAACCTGGAAGCAAAGCTGGGGCAAGCTAAAGAAAAAAGTATTCAAGAACTGAAAGACACTATAAATGTCAAATATAGGAGTTACAGGAGTCCCAGAAGGTGAAGAAAGAGAAGCTGGGTTTACAAATGTAATTAATGAAATAACAAGGGAAAATTTCCCAGATCTGGAGAAAGAATTGGGAAACAACATCCAGGAGGGGCACAGAGCACCCAGCAGGTTTGACCAAAAATGGTCTTTAACACGACACATGATAATCAAGCTTTCTTCAACTGAACATAAGTAAAAGATCCTTAAATGTCCACGTAGAAAAAAAAACCAATTGACATATAAAGGAATGTCAGTTAAATTTATAGGAGACCTCTCACAGGAAACTACAGGCCAGAAGAGAATGGAGGAACATATTCCAGATTCTGAAAGCAAAAAGTTATTGGCCCAGGATAATATATCCAGCAAAGCTTTCCTTCATCGTTAAAAATGAAATGCTTCCACAGTAAAAAGAATATGCATCATCGAAACCTGCCCTACAAAGGGTACTTACACTATAACCAAAGGCTTCCAACCGCATAGCAAGGATTTTCGACTTTCCCTTCACAAGGGTAGGATCATACTCATCCCTCATCCCACTTCTGCACTCAAATTCAGTTAATCCTATAATTGAAGGGATTGTTAAAGTCAGAGTTCCTAACTCCTAGAATATCAACTTTCAACATGTATTTATTTATTTGATGGTCACAGCTAGAGAGACAGAGAGAGAGAGAGAGATTTCTCCAGACTCTGGGCCACTGCAGGTTGCTGCAACAGGGTTGAACAAGGTCAAATCCAGAAGCCAAATGATTCATCCAGGTCTCCAACATAACTGTAAGGACCTAAACACCTGGGTCATCTTCCACCACTTTCCAAGCTATTATTAGGGAGCTGGATCTGTCAGGGAGCAGCCAGAACACGAACCAGTGTATAGAGAGGAAACTGCCTTTGCTGTCAGTGGCACCAGTCCTCTCACAATTTAACTTTATAACAACCTGCATTTCTTCTGCTGACAGACAAAACTTCAGACTGACTTAAATGACAAGGAAATGTCTTACCACTTCAGGCAGAACAGATCCAGACAATATATCAAACCTCCACCTCCGCAGTTTGCCAAGCAATACCTACCTACCTCTTGCCTTTATTCTCAGAATGGTAATAACAAGAGCGCCTCAGTCATTCCAGCTGTAACACTCAGACTTGAATGTCAGAGTTAGAGAGGGGAAGCGAAAGACAAAGAGAGCGAGTTCACTCCCCAAATGGCTGTGACAGCCAGAGCTAAGTGAATCAAAAGCCAGGAAGCAGGAGGTTGTTCCAGGTAGGAGTCCCACACGGGGGCAGTGCCCAAGGACTTGAGCCATCCTCCACTGCTTTCCCAAGGCAGATGAGGGAGCTAAACCAACACCCATCTGAGCTGCTGGTGCCACAGGTGGAGGATTAGCCTGCAACTCGCAGCAGCAGCACTATCAAAGTAGTTTTTAATAAAGCACAATCTGATAGGAAAAACTGAATCCAGGAAATGGCTGGGCAACCAAAGGAACGTAGGAAAATCAAAATCCATTAACCAATTGTTACTGGTTTAAAAAAAGGAAAAAAGCAAATAAAATGGCCTTGAAAGAACAGGACAGATATTAGAACTGAGGGTTTGAGCATAGTACAACACATGAATTCAAGTATCAACCACAGAAATTGGCCGAAGCAGTCATTTGAAGGTCATCATAAACAGAAAATTAGTATGAACTGCAAGGACACAAAGCTCAATGGATTGCTGCCTTGAAATCTAAAGTCACTAAACACAATGGCAGGAATTACACAACATCAAAATCCTTAAGGACTTTGGAAGGGTGCTGGATGACCATCAGTAAGGAAGAACAGGAAAAAAAAAGTTCTAAACTGGCAAGCTCAGCTTGCAAGGAAAAGAAAGCAAAAGGGATAATAATAGAAAAAGAGCACGAATAAAATTATGCAAAATCCTAAGGGTCATAATGCCTTAAACCTTGATGTTTATGGGAACAACAGACAAATGCTTCAAGGCCTGAGGCCTGACCCAAGCTATGTAAGGATTCTCTTAAATCTAACTAAAACATAGATGGTAGTGAACCCTTAAAAAAAAAATCTATTTATAGATGGATTTTCCTAACAGGTCAGTCCAGTAGCTTTTCTGAATTGCAATATACTAGCATTACATACACATTCCACTGGTGGAGCACTTCAGCACTGGGCCCTCCTACTCGAAGCCATTGAAATTTCCAGTTCGCAAGCGCACGATACAGGTAGCTGTTTTCTCAGTGGGAGGGAAATACACAGAATGAAAAGACGGCAATTGAAGGGTCTTGAAGTCAAATGTTACCAAGGAAAAAGCTAACACTTAGGCAAGCCAATTACTCCAACAATTCAGAAGATTAAGAAAAAAGAAGAAAGACCCAGGAAGCACTACCATTATCAATCCTAGAAAAGAACATGAGAGCGCTGGGAAGCAATCAAAACGCATGCAGAACGGTCGGACAGCACATTGAAATGTTATCCTTTATCAGTGGCAGCTTTGCAACTTTCCAATGACGTGTTCTTCTACACATCGGTAATGTACATCACGATTCTCTATGTAAATATCCATGAATTATCATTTCAGAAAGTATAGAATATGATTTTTTTATTTTTTCCTGCTGCTATAAAATTATGTCAAACATACTATGAACTATGTAATATAATTATTTCACCTGTAATATGATAATCATCTAATATTACATATCATTCAGTAACTAATTAACTTTGTATAACATATCTGGTAGTTTACCAAGATATCACAAATATATGTACCTCAAGAGAAAGGCACAAATCAGCAATTTGGAGGAGAATGAAAGCTTTGGCCTCTTAATATGTATTTTAGGAAGATATATTAAATAAGCAATATTTAACGTAATATTAAAGAAGATACCAGATTGTAATAGAAAAAGAAAAATGGATGTACAAAAACATTTTGCAAATACAAAGGACATACATTTTGACTTTTTTAAATTATGTAATCGTTTATTTTAAAGTGAGAGAAATAGAGCCAGGGCGCATACCCACGTTAGCTAGTTCACAAAGGCCCACAAACATCTCCCGCATGGGTAGGGGGAGCTCAGCAACCTGGATGAGAGGATGCTGGAGACAGGAACAGCCACGCTTCCCTCTCAGGTGCTCCAATACAGGCAGCAGGTATCTTAACTAAGCCAAGACTTATTTTAATATATACTTCCAAATAAATCCCAAAGTCACTTCTGCAGGTAATTAGTCCTTTTAAAAATGTTAACTGTAATACTATTGCCTTACGGAGCATTGTGTTTTTGTTAAAAATTCAATATTCCTTAGAGGTAATAATATTCAAGATTTTTTTTAAATGCTCTTTTCGCAACATTATTTATCATGTATATCCACAGATTTACTGGACACTTGAATTTGCAGTGAAACATTTGCTATCCCTTCTTCCTTGATTAACCACTGCTCTGTGATGCACTGTATTAATTTTAAAAGCTTTTAAAAGGAGAAATTACAACGCCTGCGGTGATAATGTGATAGTATCCCAACTGTAGCAATCACTTTAAAACTACTTCGTTACTTATCATTAGCAATGCTAAGAGATAAAAGTAATTACATCAAAAGTATTCTGAGAAATGATTGTTTAACAAGTTTAATATTCTGAAAATTTCATCTAGAAAACTCTCAGCACACCGTGGATTAGGATACCGTCTGATGACACAGATCCTTCCGTATTTCTTCTAATTAAGGAAAGTCCCTAGAACATTCTCAATCAGTATCCTCAAACCACCCTGCTTTGCAGCTAACTCCCTTAAAGGCAGCCTCACTCAACCAGTTGCCAGCCCAAGCTGACTCAAGAAAAAAAAGGTACAGCAATTTCCAGTTATCCAATCAGTTCACAGTCAAGTCCGATATATATTTTTCCTCAGGGCAACCAGCCAGTCAGTGTTTATCAAATGGATTAAAACAGAAAGCATACCACCTGGCCGACAAATACATGGAAAAGGAAAAAAAGAAGTGCTCAACACCCACCAGTCACCCCAGTTGCATGGAAACTGTCTAGATTGCCTTGTACCTAGGCAAGTGTTACACGACTGGGAGAAAAGCCAATAGCTGACTGGCATGCTGGGCCTGGTTCATACCAACTGTGAATAGGTTCCTATTCTTTAATATTAAACCTCCATGGATGGGGCAGTGGGGAGCAGTCAGCTGCCACCTGCTTGCCAAGGTCCTTGGGCAAGCTTTCAATGTGGACAGAGATGCAATCCCAGGTCACCCTGGGCCAGGCTGCTACACTCACAGGAATACTCAAAAGCCAGGGCTGCTGACAGGACTGGAAGGGGCACCCGGAGAAGCAGTGCTACAAGCCTCCCCAAGCCAGGCTGCTGAAACTCCCAGCACACATGGGAGCTGCAGCTTCAGATGTGCCAAAAACAAGGTCTAAACAGCTCCCCGCAAGCCATTCCAAGGGCATATGTGAGTACCAGCGCTGAGGGTAGTCAGGCCTGACAGAAATCTACAGGGCCTCCCCAGGCCAGGCTCCTGCCAGCACACATGAGAGCCAAGACTCAGTGAGTCAGGCAGGGACCCTAAGGAGTCGGTCCACAGGGGCTCCATGGGCCACACAATAGCATCCTCTGTGCAAGGAGGCCCGCCAGTGGCTTTTGGCATGGACAAGCAGCATGACGGCCTCAGACACATCAGGATCTCCGATCTCAGTAGGTGTGTGCATGCTTTGGACTCCTAGGTCCACACACTACACTCCTGTGCAAAGAAGCCAACGGCATTTCAGAGTGATGATGAAGATGTGGGACACCTAGCCAGTGGCACTGAATAGAGTTCTCCAGCTCGGGAGAGGGAGCCATTAGATGACACAGAGGGTTCTGAACCCAGGAAAGGCCAGCCCTCTACTCCTAAGCAGCAGGGAGTAACTATGAAAGATGTGATTCACTCTTCAGCGACCCTTAGATTAAGGGTCGGAAATCCTCCCTATCGATAGAATCACCCTCCCCTCAGGATATGCTTCCCTCACCAGGCACCTGCTACCACATCATGAAACCACTCCCCTACCACACAAACTGTCAACATGGAGGGGCTATCTCTTCCTTCTCATGGACATGGAAAGAGAAGGCAAAAACATTTCCCTCTCCTGCCTTTCCCCTCTGACCGAGCCCACTCTGAGCACGCCCATCATGTATCTGTGATCGCCTCACCTTTTAAAGAAGCTTTAGAGAAAAGAGTCACCAAGAAATGCAAATCCAAACCACAACGAAATATTACCAAACCACTGTGAGGGTGACGAAAGTCCAAACGAGGACGTGGAGAGAGGGGAACATCTATACACTGGGTGGAAATGTGAATTATCGCAGCCGCACTAGAAAACAGTGCGGGGATTTCTTCAAAAGAAAGACTTGCCACATGATCCAGCAATCCCACCACTGTGGTATTCTGTGCCTATACTAAGACACGAATACGTTGCGTCAAACAGCTATCCATCTGCACCACCATGTTTACATCAGCAGTGTTGACAATATCCAAAACATGAAATCAACCAAGGCATTTGTATATCATCGGATGAATGGATACCAAAAATGTGCATACACATAATGAAATATTATTCAGCTAGAAAAAAAAGAATAAAATTTTATCATATGCAGCAAAATGAATGCAACTGGAAGACATAATGCTGAATGAAATAAACCAGACAGAAAAATACAGTATGCCCTTATATTTGGGGAGCTAAAATTCAAAAACGGATTGAAACAATCAAAAAACAAAAAAAATCAAAACAAAAATACCTGTATGTATCAATATTTCCAGAGTTTGTCAAACTTCAACACCCATATCAAACTAATTGATAAGAATGTTATACTACTGGATTTTAGAGATCCATAATTATTTTAAAACTTGCCCTATGTAGGCAAAGTGTCATCTTTCTACTCGATTACTGTTTATAACACTTGTCTATATTCTTAATAAAAAAGCTTCATTTTACCATGTAAAAAAAAACAATTATTTAAAATAAGAAAAGGAAAACCTACCCACAGTGAGCAGTAACCACCGCTTCCGTTTTCTGTCTGAGAAATTCCTCGTAAAAGGCAAAGCATCTTTTACACGACAGCTCATGTACAATAAGTATCTGTCACTCCTAAAGTGATGACAATTGATTTTAAAAATATAACTGCATTATATTTTCTTTTCTTTTGAAAGAAAATCAACTTATCAAAATGATTATAGTCTTCTGTAATGTTCGAGTTCTTCACAAGTGACAAATGACAAAGCGCAAATGATACACCAAGATGAAACATCACGCAAACCAATCATGACTCTCCTGCTTACTATCTTATAGACCACCTGGGCTTAATTCAACCCACAGATACAGCTAAGAACTACATAGGAGCATAAAATCCATCCAAAATAACTGAAGATACACGAGAAAAGTTCATGTGACATGCATGCAAGGATCAGTAAAATGCTTTTTGTTACTACTCAAAAAGCATAAAAACAGATTTGAAGAGGCTTATGATCTGGTAGCACTACGGAGAGAGCTAGTTAATATCGCTCATTTAACTAAGCCTATTATATTTGTTGCAGGAAAAATAGACCAGTAACAACTATTGCATTTTTTTAAGTGCTTCTATCTCATTAATACCTACTCTGAAATATATATAATCAAATAAGATTTAAAAATAAGGCTTTTAAAAAACAAATAAGATGTAACTGTGATATTATGGTAGATGATGAGAAAGTGATTTTCTTCCATTTGAATATTAGGATATCAATGCTTAGGTCGATTTATGGGGACATAGAGCTGAAGAAGGAGAGCGTATGATTCATTTAAAGGGATAATTCGAGAAAAGCCATAGAATGACAAACCATTGAAAGAGCCTTTAAAAAATAAATTATTTTTTACTTGATATAACCAAAGGCACTTCAAAGACAATTGGCAGACTGTATGTACAGCCTGACACCCAAGCGTTTGTTCAAGGAATGGAGGAATCGAATGTTAGAGACAGCGGAAGCTGCTCCCCGGGAATCTGACATCTATACCTGATTGTTCTTTTCTGTCAAGTCATCAAGAGTTTCAGACTGTTTCTCCAATGCTCGCTCTAGTTTCTTATGCTTCAGTTTCCACTGCCTGATGGATTCCTGGGCTTTGAGCTTCAGGTCTTCTCTGCGCCTTTCCGCCTCCTCCCTCAGGGCCTCGGACCGCTGCAGCTCAGCGAGGTACTGCTCGGCCTGCTTGGTGGCATCGTCGGCGTGCTGCGTCAGCTCCGCGATCTGGAGGTCAGCCCGCTTGCGCTCAGCCTCGCACGTGTCAAAGTGATTTTGGATCTCCTTGAGCTGATTCAGCATGTGCAACTGCTGTTTTTCCCTGCTCTCCAACTCGTGCGTTAAATTCTAGGAAGGAAAGCGTATGAAACATTAGGAAAATTTTTCTTGTCAACGGCGGTGTGTAACATTTCATCAAACAACAAGCTCAAATGTCACAGCAATGGAAATCAACCGTACCAAATTTCATTAGCAAGCAACTCAGAAAACATGACTCCTTTTCTGTGTATTTTATAATCACATTATTTGGGAATGATGTTTTACAGCAATATTACCTCTTTTAGGCTGTTATTCAGTGAGGGGGAAGAAAAACATTTATTTCCAACTAGTTATCACTAAAAACGAAGGCAGTGCTGAGAAAAACACAGTACACTGTTTTAATTAGAACTTATTGTCTTGTCCAACTGACAACATAGCAGTGTTCTAAAACTTGTCAGATTATCAGCAACCACCAGCAGCAATCATATGCAACATTCTACCTGCTGGCACTACATGACATTTTATTACAATAAAGTAAGCATCAGTAGCAACAAAAAAACCATCATTACTGAAAGATCATAAAGAAGGCCCCTGACAAAATACTTCTAGATGGATTATTTCCAGATACAACATCCGTGTCATTAATGAATCATTTATCTCAGACTATCATGAATCAATACTGAACAGATTTTATATAAAAAAATTAAAAATTGGTGGGACTATTTGTATAATCAAGAAAAGAGTCTTAAAATTTTGCTTCCCTAAAATGACAATGGTCACTAATATGCTTGAAAATTACACAGAATTATCAGTGATTAACACATATTTCAACTGAGAACCAGGAAATATCTAGTTTTAGTCCCAAAATAAGAAGATATTATCAACACTGAGCAACTTACGAATGTTGCAAAGATATGAAAAATTCAGAAACTGTGTCTCTCTTGACTGAGCCTTCCTTTCCAAACACAAAGATGTCACACAAGCCACAGAGCAAGGGCATGCACATGTCAGCACTGCGTGGGTGGCACAGCTTGAAGGTAACACTTGGACATCTACCTTCCATATCCAAGCTGCCAGATTCCAACTGCATCCTGATGAATACCCTAACTAAAGGTGACCACAGAAACACTTGGTTCCTGGCACCCATGTGACTGAGTTACTGCTTTCTAAGTGGCGCAGCTAAACCGTTACAGGCATGTAGAAGTGCTCAGTAGCTCACTCGCTCGCTCGCCCCCAAACCCCCGTTTCTTTCTCTCTACTCCTACCTTTCTCTCTTTTTGCCTTTCAAATAATTCTCTCTTTAAAAACAAAAAATGTGAAAGGTTATGCTACAAATTAAAAGACCTCAAGAAGCCAACATGGGGCCAGGCATTTGAGACAGCAATGAAAACGCTACTCGGGATTTCACAAACCATTTCAGGGCACTGAGTTTGAATTCCAGTTTCCCTAGATCCAAGGCCTCTATAAATATTGATGCTGGAGGCAGCAGGTAATGGTCCCAGTACTTAAGGGTTCCTGCCATCTACATGGGAAACCAGACTGAGGTGGGGGCTCCTGATTCGACTCGCCCCAGCCTCAGCTAGTTCAGGCATTTGGGTAGCGAACCAGGGGATGGAAAATCTTTGCCTCTCATTTTTGTCTTTCTCTCTCTATGTTTTTCAAGTAAGAAATAAGTGAAGATGAAGATGTGAACTGGATAAGTAGCATCTATCATTCATTTTGTACCACAACACCTACACATGAAAAGCCAAGTTCCTCTGGCCCCAACAGCAGAATAATCTGTGGCTCAAATAAAGCTGAATGTATCATCTCCCACAATTAAAGTAATGTTGGACATAAAGGAAAATGTAATAATTAAAATGATGCCTCAAAAACAAATTTCATTTTCTTTTCTAAGTAGTAAGTTGGCACTCGCTCAATTAGTTAAATTCAACACAGCCTGGAAAAGATTAGTCACTCCTTCATTCACCCAAACAAAATAGTAAATTGAGAACTACAAAGTTGTTTGTGTGGAAAATTCAAAAGTGAGATCAGAAAACCCTAATGACTGTGGTTTACCTTTTGTCTTTATTCTCAAAGTTTTGCCAATATGCCCAAAGCAGCCTTATCAACAAGCCCTGATTGAACGATTCTGTACCGAGAGAGAGAAACTCAGCAATCAATATTTTGTTTTTACAACAAATACTCAGAGAGTGGCTATACACTTGCTGTGTGTTGGTACATGGTTTATAGAACGATTAATGAGACGTGGCTTCAACACCAAATACACTAACAATCTCATTGGAGACATGGGGGGTAATATTCACACCAACAGCCAAATTCAAGAGTACAAAGAACTGAAACAACCAAGTCACCTGGACGGGCCTCATGTCTTCACTGTGCTTAGTGAAAAGGCTCTCTCTAAGAGAGGTCATGTATGAGCTAAGATCTAAACAAAAAGGAGCTGCCAATAATAATAAAATACCCAAGACTACTAGGGAAAATTATGGAACACGTAGACTGTGGCAGAGATTGAACAAATACTTAATATAGCTTATTTCATTCAATTCAACCACTGAAAAAAAAAAAGCAAAAAGTCACTGTTCAATTTGATTAGTTTTCCACTGAATTTCATTATATTTAAGAAAGCCCATTCTAAATTCCAATGCAATATAATTAACAGGTTTCTATTTTACTGTTTATAATAGCTAGCCTGCCAGTTACAGATACACCAAGTGAATGACACCATGAACACAACTTGATATTAACATTTACAAATGTGGAAGTTTATATTACAACTCATTTTATAGAATATAAAGAACAATTTCTTTTTATTTCCAGAGAGAGTTTTTATATTTTTTGTATCAATGACAAGTTCATCTAAATATTGTAGCTATGGATTCTTGTTAAGAGCACATTTATTAATTATAGTAATTATCATATAAAACCCCACAAATCAAAGCAGAGTGATCTGTTTCTAGAAGGCCAATACAATGAAAAGCAGCAATTATCTGAAGGGCTAAAAATGACATACTGAACCATAAATGATGTTGCAAACATAGGCATGAATAAAACAGCTCTTTTCAAGGGTTCCACAGTAATAACGCTTTGTAACCAATCCACTGCACACAAGCATCTCACTGGCTACATCTCTGTTCATTTCTTCTGGTAACTGTATTTCATGGTACACTATCAGAAACAACCCAAATTCATTACCCTAATACTGACTCTGAGAATAGATTAGATACAAACACCTGCTGAAAAGTGACCTCCTGAAAGAAGAGACAAAATCAAAATACTGATGAGCACAAGAAAGATTATACAAAATGGGGGAAAAAACCCCAAATTATAAAGGAAAATGGCTAGGTGTAGTAAACCATGCTAAAAATATCTTTACAAATCTTATTTGCTGAAGCTAGATTCTCTTTCAGTACTTTAAAAAATTGGAAAGATTCCAAATGATCACTAAATTGTATTTACATACTATTTCATGTTAACTAAACTAAACAGTATGGGAAGCTTTAAAAAATATTTTCTCAAACAAAAATACATCTTGAAAGCAGAAAAGAAAAATTATGCGAAACAGGATAAACTTAAGAAACTATTCTGTCTGCAAATAAAACACATAGAAATCATAAATTGTAAAAGCTTTGACTGTTTACATCCAAACTCATTTTTCTATAGAATTATGAATTAATGACTCATTGTTTTAACCAAAAAAGAATCCTTTTAGTCATCAAAGTAAACTACTTCAATATGGTAAATAAATACATGGGAGTTCTTTTAACAATAAAATTGTATATCTCCCAATAAAAAAAAGAAAGTGCACTTGAAAATAACTTCATTGATGTATAAACACGCATTGATACATGTAACATTAGGAATAAAATGGAGGGTACCGACATTCCCTGAGTGACGGCCGTGGACATGATCTAAGGCACAGTGCTCCTCACCACCAGCACTGCAGCGTAGGACTCAACGGCAGCCAGCCCCATCACCACCTACAGCTCATCAGTCACTTTCTGGAGAGTGCAAAGCTCTGTTCAGCACTCCCCTGAGCTTGGTCTTGGGGCGTGCAAGCCCGGACAGATAGGATACAAAAGTGAATCAAGGATTTTTGCCAATTTTGGCTTTTTGCTACTCTCCAGCAAGATCACAGACACATCTAAGTTATGTTGTCCTAGTATCATTCTATACCTTTGTGTTAATGAAGACATTCTCTGTACTAGTGAGATTTTTATCACTACAAGGAAAATTACCTAAAGGAAGCTAACTTATGAAGAAAATGGTCACTGTTTGCCCCTGGCTTTGGAGGTTCACAGCTTGCTCCTTGTCCTAGTATCCGAAGACAGAAGTGGATGACCAAACACGTGCAGGAGGAGGAGCAGACAGCAACCCAGGAAGCATTAAATCCTACTCAATGATATAAAATCTTACCTTTGGGTCCAGGATAATGGCTCAATGGCTAAATGCTCACTTTGCAGGAGCCAGGATCACGTATGGGATCCAGTGCATATCCCACTTGCTCTACTTCCCAATCCAGCTCCCTAGTTACAGCCTGGGAAAGCAGTAGAGGATGGCCCAAAGCCTTGGGCCCCTGCACCTGCATGACAGACCCTTCCTGGCTCCAACTGGCTCAGCTCAGGCTGTAGCAGCCATATAGGGAGTAATGCAAGATCATTCTGTATTTCATCTCCATAAATCTGATCTGCCTTTGCAATAAAAACAAATATATTTTTTAAAATTTACCTTCACTGAATAAACAAAAGAACTGAATGATTTAATAGCATTTCACCTGAAATTCTTAGCTTCATGATTAAGACATGCTATCCTCAGATCCTCTGGGACACCAGCCTGGCACACACTTGCGTGTCCTGTGGAACTCCTTCCTTGCGGTATAATTTAGATGTTTTGTGAACTGATGCTGAGAGGATAACCACTCGCTTTTTCACAGTCAGGAGAACTTAGGCCAGTTGCTGAATAAAACAACTCAGATCAATCCAAGCAAATACAGCTTCTTGTAATATACCTAGGGAGCTAAATGAAGCCATTACTCATTGAGACCACAGTATTTAAAATATTTTTAAGCAGCAATTTGTTGAAAATAAAAT